GCTGTGAGAAGTGTCAGCCGCGAAATAAACTCAGACGAATGATTCAAACCATTGTCGATCTTCGCCACCGTGGCTCCGAGGACACCATTTGCGTCGATGCACTGCCGATAGGTCTCCTTGTGGCTGAACGAAACCTTGTTAAGCGTCGGCATCGGGTGGTTATGGCCGGTAGTGTTGTGAACGATGAGCACTTTGCGAATGGAAGGATCGTCCGAGACGAAGATCGTGCGGACGGCTTTGCACGGATAGTTTTGTATCCTGCACGTGACAGCTTCAAGTTTGACGCGAGTTGGAGGTGGGATTGCGACCGGGTGTTGCAAATACTTTCGAAGCTCGCCTATGTCGACCCACTCATGGTCGAGGAATTTGGCGGCATTGTCGGCAATGTACGTGGGATTAAAGAGCTGGCTAGACGCGTAAGAAGCACTCCTTAACATCGTGGTGAAGACGTACATAGTTCCGGAAGTCCATCAGTTGACGAGCGGACAGGCTGTCAAGGTATTCTTGGTCGGCAGGCGCGTGTTTTGATCGTGGTTCGGCATCGGCAGGCATTTCGACGCGCTTTTGACGCGCTTTTGACGCGTCGACGGCGAGAGGCAGCGAGGGTGGTGGTGGTAGGAAGAAAAGATGGGCAGGGACTTCTGAGTCAGACCACGGTCTGAGTCAGATGTCAGACGGTCTGACAGGTGTCCCATTCCAAATGGAGCTTTGCCGATACACGGTACATTTCAAAATGGAAAGTACCGGGTTTGATCTGAAAGGCGGCACATGGACAGAATGTACCGGGTCTCATTGGTATGTACCGGGTTTCGGAATGTGCGTGCAGTAGGAGCTTTGTATATACTCCTTATGTTGTAGCGGGGCGGGAATGTTGAGGAAAGTCGTCGAATATTCTGAATATGCGCCGAGCGCCACGTAGACTCCACGTCCTCACCACGTTGCCACCCGTAGATCCTGAAGAAAGTCAGAGAATATTCGAGGAAAATTCCGAGTGTTTCACGCTTACCCAAATTATCTCCGTTCATGTATGTAATACGTTCCCGACGCCTGAGCTTGGGCACGGATTGAGACTCATCATCAGGGTGAGCCCTCTTCTGCCTAGATGGTACAGAATTGCCGTCCACCTCCATGATGGTTGGCCAGGCGAGCCCGGCAGTGTTGGTGGCGGAAGACGAGGCACGCAGCTGAATCAACTGGGAATTCATATGATCATCCTCTGCCGGTGCCGTAGCTGGCGTGCCTCGTCACCCATGTTCTCGGATAGTTCTCCTCCACCAAGTAAAAAGCCGTGGCTTCCTCTGCCGTCCCGTACCGCATTATGGTCCGATGATACAGCATATCCATTCGGCGGAACTCTTCACGCACATCTTGACTTGGTTGACGCTGGATAAATTTCTGCTCGAATGGTCGGAGAATGTAAACTCCGGCGAGTGATGTGGCGCGGGACAGCATAACATAAGGTGCCTCTGTTCCGGTTGTACTTTCTAAATCCATAATAACGGCATTCATCGCTTTTCCTTGCAATTTGTGAGCTGTCATTGCAAAGGCTGGGACTAAGGGCACTTGGGTTCGTCTTATCAAGCATTTTCGAATAGAATCTGGATGTACAAATTTCATGTCGACAGTTTCGCTAATGATAGTGGCATGTTTTGGAGGTAGGTTCGGCAACGCAGGACCGGTCATATCCGGTATGTACACAATGCAATCGCAACAGTCAAATTTGAACCACTGCTCAGAGGTTCGTCGCTGTGATCAGTCTCATCCCAATGCTGCACAGAGTCTGCCGCGGCCCGACAAGCTGCAGATCTGTTGGATATTTGCGAAGACCTCGAAGCATTAGAGTCGGATGAACCGGACGAACTAGCAGAATACTGAGACTGGGACGACTGCGAAGAGGAAGAGCGGTCACTCTCTGGACTGCATGTTCGCGGCGGAGAGGATGATCTGCTGTCGGGAGCAGGAGAGGGCGGTGAAGGAGGGTTTTGCTCGTCCAAATCCATAGTTGTAGGTTGCGAAAGAAGGTGTCGTGCTCTTTCCACCTCCCCGAGAAGGGTCGCGTAGTCGGCACTGCGCTCCAAAAACTCATCCAATTTTCCGCCCTCCAGTCGTTGGTAGCCGCGGTCAAGGCGGTTGACAGCAGCATGGTCCATGGTTCGCCCCGACCTGAACAAATGCAACTCCTCCTCTTTGTACATGCGGAGGAGGACCTGGGTCTCGTCGCGTAGATGGGGAGAAGTGTGAGCTTTTGACCGACGTTTCAGGTCAAATGCTGTCTCGATGTCCTCTTTTATTTTGAGGAAAGGACGTTCGGGGCGATCGTTTGGCGATAAAATTTGTCATCAAACTCCCCACCTCAACGGCTCACCATATCCTCGAGCCATCGGTTGTACCACTCCTGAATGAGGTCACCTTCAACAAAGTTCCCAACCTCTCCTCGGATGGTGAAGAGCCAATTATTGAGCAGTGTGAGCTTGAGTTCCGGAAAGCATTCATACTTGAGCGGAGCGTCAAGCTCAAGCATGTACCTCATGTAGTTCCGGTTCGAAGTGCCGGCAAACGTGAAGATAAAAATCTGTTCGCAATTTGGACTCAGCAGAAGTTATAAAGAGTGAAGTGTACCTTCAATATTTCGAACATGCGACCGACATCACCCTCTGAAATCGCGTAGTTCAGCTCAGTCCACCATCCGTATTCCATGAGGACGAGGATCGAGCTGCTGAGTACCCTATCACCGTCAAATTCTGGCTCTTCAACATGTATCTTGGGCCTGTCGTCCTTAGCCTTGCGGATTTCCGCAGCAGGGGCTCCCGGCGGGGAGACATCGTCTTGAATATCCGCGAGACCGGGCATTTCAGTGTCTGACTTATCCTCGTCGTCGCGGTGCAACCTCTGTGCAGTGGCTGCGTCTGCTGCTTGACTGACAGGTGGAACGGGATCTGTCTCACGAGCGGAATTCCATGGTGTGCCTGCTGGGAATTTTTGTCGCGGTTCGGCATCGTCAAATTCAGCTTTCGACAGGGACCGGTCATACGCGGCCTGGGAAGCGTAACGTTCGCGCAGAATTGAGGCTTGGTCCAAGAGGTTTTCAAACGTGGGTAGAGCGTCGTTAGCGGCAAGATTTTGGAAATGGGCACATATGGATATCCCCGTCGATGTCCAACAAAAGGCTTGTTAGATATTATAAGCACATATGCAACCAAGATTGAAGGGAAAGACATACCGCCCAAATCAATGTCATCCATGATTTTCAGTCCGATTCATCGCGCGATGTCGCATCGTTGAGGCTGCGCTGCAGGTCAGAAAGGCTCGCTTCCAACATGGAGTTGAGCGCCTTGCGGGCAGTGCTATCGCTGACGGTGGATCCAAAACGACAGTAGACACGCTTGACGTCGACGTGAGATCTGACTGCGAAGTGCCAGATCCCAAGCGGCAGTGCCAGGTCACCGCTGGCATACACATTTCGTCTTACAATGAAGGAACTCAGGGCACCGACTTGTATCTGTGGAATAAGAATCAGTAAAAGCCAGCCAGTATCGTTGAAAGAGCCAACAATTGGATGGGGACGACGTTTCCGAATGACGACAACACCTTTGACGCGTGGCGCGCAGAAACACTCGAGCAGATACCAAATGAATGGATCCGTTTGGCTGTACTTGTCCGCGAGGCCTTGCATGGTAAAGTCCATGTGTTTCCAGTCTGCTACGTTCGCATATTCAACCCGTCCATTGCTCGTGGCGCGCATATGAGTCCGGTCATCCGGATCATCAGTCTTTGCACCAAGCAGACCGATGCGACGGTACGCCTCGTCGCCGACAATGCGGGTGGCCCAAGCATTCATTTAATTTCAGGCAGGGGCGAGCATAGCCGTCACCGGCGTGGGCTGCTCGTTTCCGCGGTTGCGTTCGAGCCATATATAAGAAGAAGTGGGGTCCTGAAACTGCTTTCGAGGTCGACTTTGCGCTATGAATCGAATAGATCTGAAAACAGGCGAAAGGGGAGGTGATATGGGAAACTGTTGACAAGGGTATGGCGACATGACGGGCCGTGCGGGGGGCGAGAAGCGGCGAGGAAGACGAGGAAGTAAAGGCAGAAATAAAGTCCAGGAAGTAAAGGCAGAAAATAAAGTCGAGAAAAGAAAGGAGCAGTCATGGGTAATGGGAATAAATCTTGCGTGGGGTGATGCCGTCCGGCTAAGCATAAGCCAAGTAATATGCACGTCCAGGTAAGGATACCGTGACGCGTCATCAAGGTAAGGATAACTTGTCAAGAGAAAGGACTTCTTGGAGTGTGTGCGTGCTAGCGAGAGGGACGTGTGTGAGATATATCCGTCGAAAGAAGCGCCGGTAGGGCTGCATTGTGGGGCCTATTCTGTGGCCTTGGAGAAGCCGTAAGGGTGAGGCACGATTTGGAAGAGCATTTGAGGAATTGGGCCCAGCCGAAGACCCCGTAGTCTCTTCTAAACAGACACTACAACATATCTGTGCTCGTACCTCGCATGTACCCCCGTGCGAGACCCGGACTGCGGAAAAGGCAGAAAGACCGATAGCAAGGGAAAGAAAGAAGGTGAAAGGCGAAAACGATCCGAGTACGAGGAAATGGGCATTGGGGAGTCACCCGGGCGAAGGAAAGACATGGTAAAGAAAAGGAAACAGCGCGGAGGCAAAGGTGGGTGGCAGGGATCTGAGAGAGTCGCCACAGTCATTCGAGCCTGCGACGCGGACGAGAGATACGGTTTTCCATGAATAAATAAATAAAAATCTTGCAACGGCGGCGCTAGGGTTTGTTCTTTTTCGATACGTGGGTTGACCCTAGCCATTGCAGCATTTGTTGCCCAGGTTCTATCAAGCTTCGACTTCGGGACCTGTCTGATTCGACTCCGGACTCGATAAGCTTCAACTTGAGAGTGGTAATGACTCGTTGTCCTTCCGTCGTTCGCATTTTGTTCTATATTTCGAGGCGAAAAAAGCACTTTTTGCAAAAATCGACTATCAGTCATGTTACGTCCTTGCCGAGAGTCGAACTCGGGATCCCCAGAAAAGTGCAAAGATGGTGGTCAATACTTGATCTGGGGCGTGTTACCGTTACACTACAAAGGCGACATACGGCGCAGGGTTGCCTTTGTTGATGACGGCTCTTTTCTCCTCCCTCCACTCTGTTCATTTTCCAACAAGGGGTCCGTTCCTCCTCTCTTCGGCGAACGAAGAGATTGAGAGGAGCTTATGTTTGAATGGGGAGTCTAACCGGAGCTTCCTTTAAATCGCTAAAGGGACTGAATAGTTAGCATAGGTGTCCTACCGTTACACTCTTAAGACTTTGAAGTGCATTAATTCTTCGTGTACTTAGGTTCTTCTTCTTCTCTTCGAAAAAAAGTGGAGTAAACTTATGTCTGAACCCGCCACACGGACACCGTCGGGACGACTCCAGGAAGGAAACTAGGACTTGCTGCATGCGTTGACCCGTAGAAAATGCTGCGATGTTCAGGTTGAACTGCTTCGATAGTACCATTGGAGACAACATCTACAACTAGTCAGGGTCCAAAGATGAAATCGTAAGAGTTCGTAACAAGGTAAGACAATCATAAAAAGAACTGGCAGAGGGGAGAGAGATACCAATATTTAAAGTTCGGGTACATAGTCCAAGGTACGGGGGCGCGAGAAGCGCAAGTCCAAGAAAGGTGGGTGTGTGATTGACGCAGCGAGGTCCATGGCGAATGCCGGCCGTATGGTACAGGCGATTATAAGAAAAAGACGAGGGGGTCGGTATAGCTGGTGGTGATTCAAGGAACACAAGACGCTGCACAGGGAGGTTAGTAAGTCCGCGGGGAGCGATCTCGCTGCGAACTTACTGACGACAGTCCTACTGCCTAGCAGCTCGCTCCCGTTCGGCCAACTTTCGTTCGAGCAGTGACGCGATACTTCTTCTGAAAGAAGGGGTCAGCGTTTCGAAAGGACCGTACAGACTCAGCACTTACCCGGTGCGAGCTTGGTACAGTGCGATGGGTGATGCGCGTACGCCCGTGACCTCCTTCCAAATGTATGTCGTTCGGGTCGAGCAGTCCCGCGTGAAGAAAGTGAGACACAATCTCGGGATCACGGAAACGATAGCGGAGAAAATCGTCGAGGGCGCGAACCACGTCGAATTGACCGTGCAGAGCGAAGGTTTACTTGAAAAGCCGAAGCCGCGAGTACTCGTGGGGTTGGAGATATGGGGGCGGTACGGGAGCGTCCTGATGAAGCAAGACCGCATCCACGATCCACCCTCGTTGCTGAAAAAGGTCTTCCACGTATCGATTGAATCCCGTAATCTTGTTCCGCAATAGGGTGTAAAGCTGAATCCAATCGGGGTGGTGTCGCGCAAGGATTTCAAGAGCGTATCGATACATAAGGGACTGGTCGAGGGAACGGCGACTGAAGAAACGATGACGCCGCCCTAGTCGCGTATAGCGCGGCCAGCGTTAACCAGTCCTGGGGAATACGCGTTGAGGGTGTCGCGGAGGCTTTGTACGCACTCTGCGAAACGCGTGCAGTATTCATCGGAAATAGTAACCCGGTGCTCCACGTCGACGTCGACCTGCGCATCCGTCTGCATGCCGACCAGATCGAGAATGGCAGGACAGGGAGCAAGCAGAGTGTTGGCTTGGCGAATGAATGCAATCGCGTCGTTGTTCTGGATCGTGCGTACGCGATTAACGAACGCTGCATGGTTGTTCGACCAATCGGTCAGGAGGGGCCAGTTGCGATTATTGGGTGTCGAGGGAGGGCGCGCGATCCGTTCGAGTTGCCGCTCCAATTCCTCCGGGTTGACGGGAATGGACTGGGCTTGTGGGTTCGCGACAACCCTACTCTTTTTGTTAATAAAAAGAAGAAACGGTGAATAAGAAACGCACGCCGCCAAAGGATCCGACGAAGATTCCTCCTCCGAGGGAAGAGTGCGCAACGAAGGTAAGGAGTCGGTATCAGATCCGTCGATAAATAGCGGCCGCGTGGATGGGGAGCAGCGAGTAGAACGACAATCGTAGGAGACGGGTGACGATATGCGTGAAGCTCGGTCGTGGCGATCCGTCCAAGTGATTGTGGGATTGGCGTTTGTCTGCACATCCCGGGAGACGGAGACGTAGGAACTGGTGAGGGAGAGGGAAGAAAGTTGGGACGCGCACTGCCTCCGGTCCGTATCCTTCCGAGACAGAACGCGTGAATTTGTTCGTGCCTGCGGAACCGGAGGTTAGTGGCTGCGAGACACCCGATCCGTCGCGCTTACTTTCTGCTTCCCTCCGCTCATCCCCATATTCAGCGGGATCGTCTGTTTCCATCCGATACTCGAGGTCGCTCTTCCGGCTGCTGGTGTCTTCCTCAGTGACTCGCTGCTCACGCGCTGCCGCGACCAGGGACTGGTGCACGCTGAATACAAACTTGGATACCCCGTTCGCGTCTGAACTAGGCAATGTTGCCATGGCGCATCGCTGCGCGTTAGCTTGAAGCTTCTCCAAACGCACGTTCGATGCGGCCCACCCCTGGGGAATTGGTGAACAGATCGTGTGGCGCGAGGTCAAAACTGCCTGGGATGTCGACGACGCGGCCGGGGTTGGGGGTATAGCGGCAGACCTTGATAGAAAGAATTAGCCAACGGAGCTGAGGCGAGGTCGTTAATGAGACGATGCGTACCCGTTTCGTCTGGAACGGCAGTGATAGGTCGTCTTTGTACTGCGACGCCGCTCTGCAGCAAACACCGACCATGCGCCTCCGGACGTGTGAGCTACGATGCGCGAGTTCGGCACACTGGTGGTTCTTCGATATGACGGCTCATGAGAAGGGAAGATGTGGGTTAGCCAGGCTACGTACCAGTCCTCGGCGGGTTGTAAATAAGAACGGCCCTGCGATTCTGAGGATCTTGCATCTCGTCAGTGGAGGGAACAATCAGGAAGCGCCACAAAGTACCTGTTTTGGGTGTAGGTCAAGGATGGCGGAGTAGATCGTTGGCCGATTTTACCGATGACGAACTGGCTCATGTACATTATGTTCAAGAGCCGGGTGTAGTCGTTCTTGACGTTGGCCTTGAACGCTTCATCGAAAGTCGGCGCCGTCCCCGCATGCCAGTGGATCCCGCACATGTAGAAGACGGTGAATGGGGAGAGTATGCGGCCGACTCCGAGGGCAACATGACGCCGGGGGTGCATGCCCTTCGGGAGGTTGGACAGGCACGTGAGGCAGCTCACGCCCGCGGGCTCGTCCTTGTTGTCGATGTGCGTCTCGCCGAAGGGACCGATCTCCGCGATGGAGTCGACCTTGCCCTCCTCGTCGTCGACTGTGGAGCCTGAGCTTTCGCAAGACGAAGTGATAGAGAGAGCACTTACACGCCTTGCGAGATTGGGCCGCCGCCTGGTTCGACTGCTGGTTTGTGGAGCCGATGTTGCGGTCGGAGCCGACGCGAGGCGTGTTCATCACCTCCGTGCGAGCGTCATAGAGCTGGGCGAGGCCAATAGGGCCGAAATAGCGAAGGCCCTCGCCAGCGAGCTCGCCAGAAAGCTGGGGGTGTCGTTAATACAGGCGGGCACGGCAAACAAAAACAGACGCACCTCGCTGTAATCGCGGCGGAGGAGGAAGCCCAAGTCCTGCACGGCAAGGGGCTTGGTGCGGTCGAAAAAGTTGCCCGCTGTCGGAGCGTGCAACCCGCCCTTCTGAGGTTCGACGCTCAGTGTGATGGGGATGGCGCGCTCTGTGCCCTCGATCGGCTTGGACCGGCGTTCCCGTTCCAGAGCGGTGCTGCCGACACGACGCCCGTTATCGTCAAGCTTGGGGGCGGACTGCGAAGCTTCGGATTCCAGCCCGATTATGCGCTGCTGGAGCTCTTCGGCGCGCTCTTGCATATCGTCCCCGAGCTCGGAGCTGAGGACAGATGAGCCACGGAGCAAGAAAAGAAAAGAACAGAGCCACTCACATAGCGTAGCCGCAGGATATCATCATATCCTTCTGGGGGTCTCCGTCGCCGTTGACGTCGCGGAGGAAGAGGAAATCCTCCGGTCGCAGCATGAGGTTGCCGCTATCGTGCTCGTAGATGACTGCGTCGTCGTCAGTAAACGAAAAGACGTGCGGAGGATGAGTAAAACTAACGATGGAAGCCCGCGCGGTGGTGCGTGGTTTCACAAATTCCACGCCGGGAGACCGCGCGCTGGAAGCCGTGGACGAAGATGTTCTTCATGACGTCCTTGTCGTCCAGATCGAGGACGAGTACATAGTCCGTGCCCCCCCGCCCGTTGCGATGCGGGTTGACGGGGTGCTTGCCCCTGTAAACGTAGATGTCGGGGAGCTGCTTCTCCCGGGACGGGATGGCTAGAGGCTTGGAGTAAAGCCCTTTGGCGATGTGCGTGGGGAGAGACGCGGGGGACGCCTTGAAATCGAAATACCGGAGCGGCGGCGGCTGCGAGGGCTGCGATGCGGATGCGGAAGAAGTGCTGCGGCGAGACTCCGCCGTCGAGCGATCCGTTCGTCGTGCTGAAGCAGCACGCCGCGGGGGCAGCGGCGGCGACGAAGCCGGTGGAGGTGGCGGCGACGCAAGGGGTGGAGGCCGCGGAGCAGGCGGTCGTAACGACTTGGGAGCGCCGGAGGTTGCAGACGAGCGTGTCGTGCGTCTAGCAGGGACACGCGTTTCCGCAGGGGATGGATCAGGCGTGGGCGGCGCGGGGTGGCCACTGCCGCAGTGCGATGGGCGGAGGACTTTGAGGGCACTTTGGACGACGACGCAGCGGGCATTGTGCCTCCGCTGGAATCGAGGATCGCGTCGAATCGGACCTTCTTGCGCTGCGGCGGCGGCGGGAGGTCCCACTCCTCTTCCTCGTCCGACAGAACAGGGTCGGGGCCGTCGGGCAGCCGGACGGAAGGAGTGGGAGCAGGTTTCTTGACGAAGCGGGCCACCCCCGCAGTTAACGCGCTGGCCACCGACTTGAACGAGAGCCGCGAACGGCGTGAGGTGGACATCGGAAGGGAAAACGGAGCCTGTGTCTCAGGTGAGCAACTCACTCAGTCAAAGCGAGCGAGTGGAGGGCTTACCTAAGCCTTCCACTGCGTCCCTCCGTTCTCCAGCTCGGGTGTTCAACCGTTGA